CAATGTGAACATAGAAGTTTCCATGCATTTTCTTTATTTCATTTTATAAAACTTAGAAGGAATTTGCCTTTTTTTCTTGGCATTTAGAAATGAACTAGCCTTTAAGGAAGTCTCACATGTCTACTTTTTTCTAAAATACATCTTCTTCACACTAGTCTCTATTCTCCTGTTCTCTGTCTTTTAGAATTTACCAGACATCTCTACAAAAGTTTCTCCTTCAAGGGTCTATGTTAGTCCAATAGTCTTCCACATATTTGTAAATTGTGTATGAGAAAACATGTTGATTTCCTTCTCCCAGACTCTAAAATTTTGTGGATACAGGTTAACTATTATAATAATTAATTCTGACCTTCAAATTCACCAGAGGAAGAAATACCTAGATTAGGGAAGCATACGTCTCATGTGTCTGTGCAGGTGCTTCAGGCGTGATTCTAGCCTGAGGGCTCTAACTTGCCGAGTGCATTAATCCCTTGTTGGATTCATAATATGGTAATATTATTAGGATATGGTGGAAGGCAGAGAGGGAGCCTAGTTGGAGGAAGGAGGTCATGAGCCGTATTTGCTCTGGGATATAGCCACCCTGGCTCCTTCCTACTTTCTTGCTTCTGGGCTGCCAGGGTATGAACTTCTGTACCCTACTGACTCATTGACTCCTGCAAGATGAGCAGAAACTCTGAAACCATGACCCCAAATACATCCTTTTTCTCTTAAACTAGTAACATCAAGAAACACGGTTTCAGTGAAGTAGTCTGTCTTGCCACAGCCACATTACATATTTATATTCATAACCATAATGTTCTGATAATAGCTACAAAGTCAAATTGATTAATCAATTTGCACATGAAAACTACTTAAACATGACCACCTAACAATGACTTGCAATTATTATAAGAGAGACTTTGCATTTCTGTATTTAAATTTTGTCTATGCTTTATTAAAAATTTTACATATTTGTGCTATTTTATCAATGCAATTTATTTATTTTAATTCAGTGTGTAACATGAAAGATAGAAGTATAGTTGGTGGGGTTTTTTGGTTTGCTTTTCTTTTAGTTTTGTCGTTTATTAAGGAATTTTATTCATTTACATAGCAACCACAGGTCCCCTCTCTTCCCTCCTCCTCCCCTCCAACCTCTCCCCAACCCACCCCCATTCCCTCCTCCAACAATTTTGTGTTTTCTTACATATTTCCCTGTTTCTTTATATTTATTTCATTAAATTGATTTTATTAAATCTTTTATCATAATCTTAAAGTCATCTTGGTATATTTTCATTCCTTCTACTTTCATATCACCATAGTACTTTGCCAGTGCCATGTGTAGTGTTTATGTCTTCTTTGAAGTCATAACTGGTGACTTTGATTTCACGACTGGCAAACATTTTTTATACATACACATACACCTGTAAGATACACCCACACCATACACCACACTCTTAGATAGAGTGCCAGGTTTGTTAATGAATAGTTTGCTTGCATTGTTGTATTTATGACAGATTTTTTTTGTCAGTCACTTGGATAAGCCCTTTGTGGAAGAAACAGGAGCTTCCTTGTTAACTAGAACTAGTATTAACGATCCCTCCCTCACTGCATATTCTAAAGGTACTTGTCCATGAGGTTTGTGAGGGAGACTGATGCTAAGGTCACCTGTCTGTGGTTCAACCTTTCTTTATCCAAATTTGGAGCAGCAGTCACCTTGCTCCTATCTCTGTCTCCATATCTTTTATGCAATCAACAGTTCCTTGATACAAGCAATGGCCCAGTTGCAAATTCTCACTGTGTCATGGGAAAGGATTCACCCAGAAAATGTAATCTCTTTTAGAATAAACAGTTGGCATTCTTACCATTTCCTGTCCTAGTTTCTGTTACTTAGTGAATTGGCAACCTTTTTCTAACAACATGATGAGATCATCCATTTCCTTGACAGAGAAGAAAAGGTGGGAAAGTTTATTTTGTCATTTCCCATTCTATCATTTCTCCACACGACACTATTTATTCCAGCCATCACATCTGCTCCTTATTTCCCCCAGGCTGTATTTATAGCAAAATGTTTGTTGTTGTTGGTTTTGTTCTTAATACTTTTTCTAAGCCATGGTTCTTCCTTATCTTGAACCTTTGGTAGTCTGTTCTTTTTTTTCCTTGTTTTTATTTAAAAATTTTTTTTTATTCATTTTACATACCAATCACAGACCCCAGTCTCATCCCTCCTCCTGCTCCCCCACCTTCCTCCCTGACCCACTCCCCCTTCCCACCTCCTTCCTCTCCTTCAAAAGGATAAGTCCTCCCATGGGGGGTCAGCAAAGCCTCATAGTTCAGTTGAGGCAGGACCAAGCCCCTTCCCCATCCATGAAGGGTGAGCAAGGTGTCCCACAGACCATAGGTAATGGGCTCCAGAAAGCCAGCTCATGCACCAGGAAGAGATCCTGATCCCTCTGCCAGGGGCCCCTCAAACAGACACAGCTACACAATTGTTTCAGTGTCATTTAATTAACTCTGTAAGTCACAGAAAGCAAATCTGACTTTGACTAAGGTTCCCATCTTTGATGTCCTCCATTTAAGGAGCACATTCACTGAAGTTCTTGTATTAAACATTTACTAGCATATTTGTTTTGTAATTTGTAATTTGGAACTTGGAATTTAGAGGGCTATATTCTGTCAATTTCCTTCATTTACAGAGTTTCAAGAAGACCAAGCCTGTCTCTAACTCAGTGTCATTTAATAAAGAAAAAAAAAGGCCTATCAAAAATCCAATTTTCATAGAAAAGGTATTTTCAATTTATCTAGTGGGGATTTAAATATGGAGGTAAAAGGAAAGAACTAGGCTAGATTATAAGGCAATGATATAAAATACAGTAGTTGACCAAATTAAAACACTGAGGTGGGAAAGAGCTTTGGAAATCTCTACATTGAGAGTTCAGCTTCAGCCAAGCAGGAACAGACGTGGAAGGGGAAAGTATAGATGATCTACAGCTACCAAGATCTCCGACATTAAAAATGTGCTTGCTAGAAGAATAATTTCTAAAGACAAGTTGGAGAATATAGTCAGGGAAATCTAGAAAATGAAGCAAAATATAGTTAACACACATAGTGGGAAAAGAAAATATGTAAGAAAAGAGAGTGTCTATCCAAGAGAATGGGAATACTAAAAGAATACACACACACACACACACACACACACACACACACACACACACACACTTAATAACTGTTACTGAGTTTAGTTGTAGCTATCAGAAGAAACAGCTGAAAGTGTAAAAAAATAGTTGATGGTTATTGGAAATGCGAGGATTTATGAGATACAGTACAATGATTTCTCATTTTAAGCTATCAAACTGTTTTAATCAAATGTGTTTATATCAGTTAAGGCAGAGGAGGTTTTGATTTAGTAATAGATGATGTTTGAATCTTTTGTTTTAAAACAACGAACACTGTGCCTCACTGCAGAGACAATGTCTATCAATAGTAATGGTGAGAACTGTGCTCTACCATAATGTTTCCGGGCTCCAGACAGGTAGATGCTCAGTTTTGCAATGTTCCTCTCTTTGGGAAGGCAGGGAAGGCCAGGAAGGCAGAGAAGGCAGGGAGGGCAGGAAAGGCAGAGAAGGCAGAAGGAGCTGTGGTCACTTAGCCTTTCTGAATTCCTGTGCTAGTGGGTTACATATGGTCCATTCTTTCATTTCAAATCCCATAGAATTGCAGCAAATACTTGAGAAAAGCAATATGCAGCATAACAGCCAGTAACACTTTGAAAATAAGTGAATGTAGATGCGATGAACACACAATGTTATTTGAACTACCCATTTCAAATTAATGGTAATTCTTTTTAAACTGATTGCCATTTTTAAAAAATGACATACTGTTGAATATTAACCAATGAATCAAAATGATTTCTTTGGTACTTTCACTTTTATTGTAGCAAAATGTTACTTAATATAAAATTTACCCTCCCAGTATCAATCACAGTTTGCTGATCACACAGTTATTTGAATAGAACTCTAGAATCTCCCACCTTTATCCTGCATAACTGAACTTCAGTGCACACTGAGTAATTCCTACCCTATTTCATCTAATCTTGTGGCAATCACCCTTCTATTTTTTGTTTCTATGAACTTGGAACAAAATGTAGGGCATTAGATATGGCATGTGAAGTAGAATCATGCAATAGAAATTGATTTGGTGTATACTTATTAATATATCAACAATAGAGCTAATTTATGAAGTCAACACTAAGTAATTCTCTAATCCTAGAAAGAAAACCATCATCTTCCCACACTTACTCCCTGATGGTCACATTCTTAGCAACTGGGGAGATTAATTTAAGTTTAAAGTGCTCTTCAAAATAGTTCTATCCATTCCTTTAAGAAAACTTCTAAGGTTGAAATGAACAGAACCTTTATACCTAGCAATTGGAACAATATGTGTGCTTAATGTGCAATCAGTGAAGTGGAGTATGCAAGGGAAGTTTATATCACTTTAGTAAATGAAACTGAAATGGGACAGTTCCACAGGAAATTCCCATGAGGGACAAAGGGAGTTCTTGACAGGCAATGTTCAGCCTCATAGTTTTCTAGTCACACTACTTGACTACTTGGCCTTGCTCAATGGTAACTTTCTTCTTATCACATTTCATTTCCATTCATTTGCCTAAGCAGTGCTGTTGTTGAGAGCTATTTAATTTCCTGCTGTCTGTATTTCCTTAATAGGTGCACCTGTAAGGGCCATATACTTCAACAAAAACTGAATCAACCTTTCTTCTGGATTCATTGTCTTGACTGTTTGCAAGTGAACTCAGTAGAAAGCTCTTGGCTTTCAGATCACATAAGAAGAAAAAAATAGGTGGAAAAAAAAAACAACCTTCCCCTTCCATGAAGGAACAAGAGTTCCTGGCCCACTGGTCTTAATTAAAGTCATTGTTCTGGACAGTGAAAAGCTAGCATCACCTGGGAACATGATAAGTTTAACAAGTGTAATGTATTGACACTCAGGAAGAGGTGCATGCTCACCCTGAAACATAGGAGGAGAAGACTCTTCAGTTTGGTAAAATCTGGTATTTCCCCCTTAGAAAGCTGACTCCACAGATTCAGTTTTGCCTGGAAGTAGAAATCAATAAATACTTGTAATTACAAGTTCAAGTTGAGAAAGAGGATTAAAAAAATGTCTCAAAATAAATCCCAAAGAATTCTTCTAGTCTTGATTCCCAATTAGGCACAGATTGAATTCATTTGATTTTAAAACTAGTTTTCAGAATAATCAAGCCACTTATATACAATAAATTAACTATTAGATAAGAACTGAAATGTTGATTCTGTATTTTGTGCACCCCTCAATCATCCTATGCTTCTTCCATAGACAGGACAACCAAAGAGCTTTTATTGCCATGGATTTTATCTACGGCCCAACTATAGTTCACACTAATTCTTTCTCATGTTTTCTCAAAATGTGCTAATACTAAATTTCAAGTCTGAACTCAGATATAAAGCCTTTAAATATTTTCTTGAGATTAAAGTTTAAATAGAAATAATATTATAAAAAGAAGTTTCCAAGACAAACATCCTTTTCAGTAAACAGTCTCTTGGTAATTATACTGTGAGCATTTAAACACTGTGATTAGAGTTTTCAAATGACCAGAAGCTGTCACTCAAAAGCTTCTTCACCACCCAATTACTGGGTCATGTGCCTCTCTTGTGATTCTGGCATGATTCGACTTTTGTTTGGGAGGAGGGATAGACGCTGTTTGTGTCATCAGCAGCAACAACAACAACAAAAAAATCACTCTTTTGTGGGAATCTAGAAAGGAGAAGGTAAGCATTACATTCTTCTTGTGAAATCAAGCAGGTGGACTAGAGGTGTCAGGAAAATGTTTCTGAAGGTTCAAGTTAAACCTATTATAGGGACCGTCTTCTGCTTTGTAATCCCTTTTTGAAGAGAAATGAAGTATTTAGTAACAATTCCTGTGTCATCCAGAGCTACAAAACAAGTATGCTGGACATTAAAACATACTTTCTGGAAAGATCATGAGTGTTCCAATAACAGTTGTGAGACTAGAGAGCAGGAAGCCTATAATGGAAGACAAGGAATAAACTGAAAGGAAAGTTGTTGATGGCCATGGAAAGGCACCAAAAAAAACACAGAGTCATTTCTAAATTTCCATGAAGTCAGTATCTGCTCATCAATGGAGCTGTTTGGGGCTGTTACTTCCAGCAAATCTCTCCAGACTCCCTGCTAGATTGTAAGGACATCTGGTGGGCACATAAAACTCCTCTTTCTTATTTCCTTAATCAAAGTAGAATCCAAAGAAGGAGGTTCCTCTTGAAATGAGCACTCACTACCCCTGGGAGCTTAAGAAGTGGGTGAAACAGAGCGGAAGAGTTTGCAGGTCTGGTAGACCAGGGATGACCAGCTGGAGTCAGTCACTCCTGTCTGTGCTATGTCATCAGCACAGGCTCCGTTCCAAGCTTAAAACACTTCCCAGTCAGCCAGACTGGCAAACCAAACTAACATCTATAAACAGTTTCTGGGTTTTATTTGACTTTAAAACTCAAGGTTAGGGAAGACTAGATTGTTAATGGGTTACAATTTTGAATTGTGTCTCCGGATAGAAATCACAAAGGATTTCTTGTCTTTTGTTCTCTGCCAGTGTTGCTAGACTCTGGTCTTTGCACTATTGTTAATCTTGGTCACTAGACTTTCCATATCTCGTTACAAAAGCTCCAAGCTGCCTGTGTACAAAGCAAACAATAGCCAGAGAGGACAAAAGTTCACTCATGAGACGGGATCGCAGTTCCAATAGAATACTCAAGTTTTTTTTTTTTTCTTTTTAATAGGAAGAAAGTCCATAGGACAGATGACTGTCATTATCATGAGGACAGATAGTGATCCTTACAGCTTAAAATTCATTCCTTCATTCTTGCTGATAAACATCCAATCGGGCCATTCAGTTCAAAGCAGAAAAAAACATGATTTTACTTGATCATGTGTAGAAAGCATCAGCAGATTCCCAATAGATTTTGGAACTTAGTATACTTAAAACAGGTCCTTCCTAGTTACCATTTAATAATCAATATTAATTAATTAAATTAATAAAGCAAAACAATGCTTAAACATTAAAGTTGACTTTTATGGTATTTAGAGTTTCATAAATATTAATATAGCATGGAAGTCACCTTTAATAATGTGAAATGATTATATACAGGAATTCTGAGCAAGAGCTGAAGAGAAGGAAATAGGCTCAGTTTGATATGATGGGTGAGTGTTTAAACTCTCTTCCTCTTTCTGTTAGGGTAAATAAGCAGATCCTGATTTTAATCTTGATTTCAGATGCATGTAGCGGAATATCTCAGAAATCATGAACATTTTGATGTAAATTTAGATTTGCCTGTCTCAAAATGTGATTCACTTATTTCATTGCTGTATTTTACTGCCATTTATCAAATATGTTTTACCTTGAGCAGCCATGCAATTCGAATTGTCAATGGGAAAACAAGCCATAGCTTCCATTGATTTCTTCATCCATGCTTGCGTTCGTTTGTTCATAAAATGCTTTCTCTCATTGACTATGTGTCAGGTACCATGATAAGGTATGGCGAACAAAAAGGAGTAAATCATTATCTTTAGCTGTAGGAGCTCAGAAGTATTTCCAACATTTTAATAATAGAGATAATCATAGTAGTAGCTAATATGACGTGGGTGTGCCTGAATTTTCTAAGAATTTTACACGTACAATCTTTCTTGATGTAACATATCCTTTTACATGTAGACATATTATTATTCCTATTTCATATGTGCAGGCATGGAGGGATTAAGTTACTTGCCCAAAGTTACACAGAGTAAACAAAGGGTAAAGATTGACTTCATGTTAGCAATGTGATTCACAGCACCATGGAAGCCATGAAATGGGTGTCTTACTTTCAGCATCCAAGAGGCTGGAGATAAAGACCAAAAGATGAGGACCCTTGCTCTATGGCTGATTGTTGACTCTCTTAGATTCCTTTTAAAAAGGAGAGTGATCACCATTACAGTGTGACTGGAGAAGGTTAGTAGGAAACTGTCAGGGTGAACTTTGTGGGTTTCCTTGAGTGATTTGTGTCTTATCCTATTCCCGACTCTTATCTATGCCTTGGGTGGCGGGGAGGGGGCATATTGGATGTGTGTTGCTCTGTTTTACTGTTTATTTAAACTTTTATGAGCTATAATTCTTGAACTAAAAAACTGTAAATTCATTTTCCTGGTATAGTTTATAGAGTCTGGGTTCTGTAGCTAACCCTTGAATCTCTTCTAGCACTGACACTGATGGCTGCCCACCTTAGTTAGTCCTTTAGTTTCGTGTTTGTGTGATTACATTTACCACAAAAAAATGCCAAAGACTCTGTATCTCGACCTCAGCCTAACAGAGAGCAAAGACTGTTGAAAATCAGGCAAGTGGTGTTGAGAGGAGTAACATTCCATTTGCACATTCCCATGGGGAAGCTGGACACAATGCTGGGCAATGACATAGGACGAGCGAGTACAAGGTGTACACAGTGTATGTGAGTGTATCCAAGTAATACACGAGCAAGGAGTGGTTCTCATCAAATGTCACCCATGTTTGTACTGCATCCCCCTCGTTTGTTCTTAGCTTTCCTGATTCAATGACTCTGATCCACAGAGCCAGCTCTGTCTTTTCAGTTCTTCCATGCTCTGCCTCATTGTCCAATTGCTTTATGTTGTGGTTCAGTCATCTCTGGCCTCAGCCTCAGTATCTGTGAGTCTTTTCGGACTTTCTGTGAAATATCTTCTTCATTCTGCCTTGTGGACAGCTGTCTGTTCTTTCTTCTCACAAGCAGTGAGCTTAGCTTCCCACCCCTCCTTAAGATCCTTGGTGATCATGGGTCAAATTCAATTTTGCTGCAGGTTTCTTGAAAACTATTTGATCATAAAAACTTTTCAGCACAGAAGAATGGGTGGGCAGGACCCATAGGTACACACAAGGGGAGATATTTTTCCTTCCTTCCTCTTTTTTCTAATTACTTCATTTTTCTCCAATTTTGTCCATTGCTGAACACCCAGAAAAGTTATAAAACAACTTTTAACGGGACCACAATAGAATGTAGCTACTTTTATTAGAGTAAAATATTTCGATTGAGGAAATCAAAGAATCCTGGACAAACAGAGCAGTTAGAAATGAAGTTACACTAAAACAATATAAATTCTTGCTCCAAATTGGTAAGATACAAATCACAAAATTGGCTCAAACTAGTTTAGCAACAGATGTTTGGGGGAAAATCTGATTATCTGCTTCTGAGAGACAGAAACAGAAGCAGCAATGAGGTACAGCACATTTCTTAGGACTGAGAATTGAAACAATTTTTTCTTAACAGTTCCCCCTCCACCTCTGCCAGGAGAAGGACCATTAGGGACTGAGGATAGAGCTCACAGTTGGTGGAGTGTTTTCCTAGCGTACTTGAAGGCCTGAGTTTGATCTCCAATACCATACAAATTGGGTGTGATAATACCCTCCTGGGAATCCTGGTACTCAGGAGATAGAAGCAAACTGATCAGAAGTTCAAATCCATCTCTGGCTATATAGGAAGGACCTCAGCTAGTTAGTGATCCCAGAGTAGCTTGTTCATTTCATGTGAGTGGAGAGAGAAGAATGCGGGAAATAAGAGACTATTGTGAAGGCACTTCAACGTGGAGAGAAGAAATCCCAACATGACACACACAGCTCATTCATGGAATCCTGACACATGCAGTTCATTCATGGATACTTCCATGATAGTCTGAGGTCATCCTAGGATGCAGGAGACCCTGTCTCAGAAAACAAGCAAGTAAACAAAAAGAGCTACAATAAAAAATGAAGGATCTTTAGTACAGAACCAAGAAGCACATAAAAGATTTTAAAGGTCTGTGCTTTGGCAAATTATCTTGCTGAAGCAGATGACACCATTTGATTCTGGTGGACAATCTCTTCCAGTCTCTTCAGGGTAGATTTGGGAAGCTGGAGAACAGTGATCTATGTTTTCTGGCTTGGTATTCACCAGAGATAGTCAGGAGAAAAAAATGCTCACATGAACAAATTGTGTCTGATTACTCACTGGAGGTTTAAAATGTGTGTTAGCATGTAAGGACTCTGAAAAGTCCCACAGTTAAAAATGGTCCTTACCCTGTTACACTTCACATTTCTGTCAAACATATGAGCCACAGATACAGTCAACGGCTATATACTACTGTCTCCTAGCTCATTACTTGAGCTTTTTTTGTATGCAAGGAGTAAATGAACAGTTGATGAGTTAATTAAAACAAAATGTATGAGAGGTGATATCAGCTCCTATGATGGATGATACAGAGTCATGGCAGAAATTAGGTGAAATAAAACTAAACTCTAGAAAAGACTTCCATAATGTTTTACTTTAGGTCAAACAAATGATCTTTCCTTTAAATTCCGAGACATATTCATTTCAAGAGTTTTTTTTCCTTAAAAATGACTACTGTAAATAGCACTGTTGTCAGCTTCTTCAGACTTATAGTTTCTCAAACGTACTGAACACAACTGGCAATGAAACTATTCACCTGCTGGGATGAAGTCTTTTGGGAAAAAAAAACCTCCATCATTTTTAGTATCAGATCCACACCACAATTACATGTATGAGATAAATATTTTTTTAAGAATTCAGAAAAAAATTTCTCAGCAACACCTGCACATTCAATAGCTCAGTAAAGATAAACAATTTATAATAATTCTTTCTTTGGTTTATATTTTAGCACAAAGACACAAAAAAATCGATGAAATATATGTAAGTAACAACTCTGGCAAGCATTCTGA